AACAACTTGTTCTGAATAACCAAAAGGCTCAGGATGTTGATATTTAGTTAGTAGCATATGCTGGGATCAAGGACTACTATGTTTGTTAAAGTGAATGACTTTGACTTATATTCAAGGTCACAGGGGTCAAATTTGTTTAAAATCTTTAAACAACCTCTTATGAATAACCATGGGTCCCAGGATGTTTATACTTTGCAAGTTGCATCCTGAGATGAAAGGCTATACAATGTGTTCAACATAATGACTTTGTTCGACTTTCAATCACAGGGGTGAAATGTTTAAAAAAAAATTAACAGGGTCTTTTGAACGAATTTTAATCATAAATACTGATATTTTGCCTGTAGCTTTATTTTAGATCACTTTTAAGGTTACAAGTGTGAGTTTTATACCAGGTGAGCGATGCAGGCCCATTGGGCCTCTTTTTTCAATATTGAGATGTTCAGGTGAGATTTCATTAAAATAATATTAAGAAAATAAAGTGTCTTATTGTTTTAAAAAGGATAAGAAAGAACATTAATTCTTTTTTCTTCAAGGGTATTCATATCAGTTAATAATGAAAATCACATTTAGGTTCCAAGCAAATTTTAATCACGAATGCATGGTCACTTTCCTGATGAAACAATATATCCAGAGACTTGAAACGTTGCAGACAGGACTCCTTGACCTTATGGTCACTTTTCACGACATTCTAGTGTTCTTGTAGACATTGACCTTATAAAAATCCTTTGTTCACATACAGTTTAAGGGGCTTTGAAAAAGTGAACATAAATATTAGATAAATGAAAGTACAGTGTGGATAACTTTAAGACACGTTTGTCTGAATATTCTGTCCAGGCTATGACTTTTGACTCGATGGAGAAAGCTTAATGACACTTTAAGGATGTACTGGGAGTTGAGATTGGCAATCATGGTTATACTGTCACAAATTACTTTGATTGACCACTCAAATGTCGGGCCACATCACCAATACATTATGAAGTTTCCTGTTAACCACTATGTACTTTCTTATGATCAATATTGTCAGGAATGGTCCTAAATTGCTGTAGTATGATTAACATCGTCAGGAATGGTCCTAAATTGCTGTAGTATGATTAACATCGTCAGGAATGGTCCTAAATTGCTGTAGTATATGATTAATACCGTCAGGACGGGTCCTAAATTGCTGTAGTATAATCAATATCGTCAGGAATGGTCCTAAATTGCTGTAGTATGATTAACATTGTCAGGAATGGTCCTAAATTGTTGTAGTATGATTAACATCGTCAGGAATGGTCCTAAATTGCTGTAGTATGATTAACATCATCAGGAATGGTCCTAAATTGCTGTAGTATGATTAATACCATCAGGACAGGTCCTAAATTGCTGTAGTATGATTAACATCGTCAGGAATGGTCCTAAATTGCTGTTGTATGATTAACATCTTCAGGAATGGTCCTAAATTGCTGTTGTATATGATTAATACCATCAGGACGGGTCCTATATTGCTGTAGTATGATTAACATCTTCAGGAATGGTCCTAAATTGCTGTAGTATGATTAACATCGTCAGGATTGGTCCTAAATTGCTGTAGTATGATTAACATCTTCAGGATTGGTCCTAAATTGCTGTAGTATGATTAACATCGTCAGGATTGATCCTAAATTGCTGTAGTATGATTAACATCTTCAGGAATGGTCCTAAATTGCTGTTATATGATTAATACCATCAGGAATGGTCCTAAATTGCTGTAGTATGATTGACATCGTCAGGAATGGTCCTAAATTGCTGTAGTATGAGTATGTTCAATTTTCCTTCTTTATTCTTTCAGAGGACATATGGATTATGCCATGGGTCATTTCCAGAAAGCCATCGAGTATTCTCGTACAGAGTCAGAAATGTCACATCTATTCTCTCTCTTAGAAGCTGCAAAAGCGCAGCTTAATGTGGCAAAAAATTTTGGAATCCAGCTTCCAGGTCTAGGTGGACCTCCAATGGTGTGAGAGACTTTTAAGGACTGTGTTATTACTTCATCATCATTTTTAACTGATCAAGGGTCCACATTGTTTGAAGAGAAAGTTGTATGTATTGTCTTATATCATGTAATCTAATCTAATTTAATTAAATCCTAACCTTTCCTCATGGTCATTTTGCCAGTTACTTTGCACTGAAGCCTGTACTGGTATCAGTAATTAAGACTGGATGGCGACATTCATCACAGCTGTATTAGTTGTTTACAAGCTGCATGGATGTCAGTTGTCGACCAGTTGTATTAGATAGTTGTTTTCTTGCTGTGTTTGCTTTGATCACTAGCTGTCAGTTATTAATCATCTGTCAGTTATTGACCAGCTGTGTCAGTTATTGATCAGCTGTGTCAGTTATTGACCAGCTGTGTCAGTTGTCTACCAGCTGTCAAGCTGTTTCAGTTGTCGACCAGCTGTGTTGGCTTTTGATCAGCTGTCGGCTTTTGATCAGCTGTGTCAGTTGTCGTTCAGCTGTGTCAGTTATTGATCAGCTGTGTCAGTTATTGACCAGCTGTGTCAGTTATTGATCAGCTGTGTCAGTTATTGACCAGCTGTGTCAGTTATTGATCAGCTGTGTCAATTATTGATCAGCTGTGTCTGTTGTCGACCAGATGTGTCAGTTATTGATCAGCTGTGTCAGTTATTGATCAGCTTTCAGTTGTCGACCAGCTGAGTGAGGTATTGAAAGCTATGTGTCTGCAGCATGTGATGCAACAAGGTCTCTAGCAGAAAAACTCTGTACTAAGGTTTGTCTCCTATGAAAACCAATTATCATGCAGATACGTTTTTAGCTCACCTGGGCTGAAGGGCCATTTAACTGACCTGTGACATGGACGGGATGTAACTGACCTGTGATATAAAGATTTTTGTAGCTGGTTACTGTAACTTCTGACAACTTGATTTTAATTCTTGTGTTTTCATTTTTGTTACTGATTAACAGGGTATTAACATCATATTGTTTACAAAATGTTGTACTTCAAACGTGTCTGGTGAGAAACACATGCAGGCCGGATTTGTTTACTGGGACCTAGTGTTTCGATGTGATGTGAGTTAGTGTGATAAAGTGAATGAACACATATTAGACAACTTTGATAGTAAGAGGATGAGAGAGATGATTCAGTAATCAGAAAAACAAACTTTGTTCAGTAATTAAGAAAAAAAAAATGGAAAAAAATCACAAAATGTTGCATATTGTCAAATAATTAATATCTAATGATGTGGTAGAGTATCCTTTTCAGTAACATAGCATCTTTGAATTTTATCACAACTCTAAAATAATTATAATATTGGTTTACATCTTGTCGACAAAATTTGTATTTTTTATCCGGATTGTGAAATACGAGTGTTCCACAATGTTTTTCTTACAGAATGGTAAGTGGTTAGGTTCTGAGTAGATGTATTTAACAACATTACCTACACATATACACTTCCTGTTAAACTTGGGTGCCACGGACGTGCAATAAAGATAGGTTTCCCCTGATTTCCTATATTTTGAGTTTTATTGACACACATTTCCTGTTATGTATGAAAACATACAATTGTATATATCATACATACAGTATACCATGAAGCGTTCTGACTGCATTTTGACACTCTTCCAAATCCCATCCTAACAGGCCATAATAACCAGCAGCTCATTGTTTCTTCATGTGGTACCAGACAAACCTACTTACCTTGCCTCTATGTTCATGTCAAATGTTTATACAATTCATTTCCCATGCTTTTTTTTCACTTTTTTTCTCACATGGCACTTATGTGCATCATTATTATAGTATTGACAGTGCATTGTCTGTCTATCAACTGTTTTTCTTAGAACAGCTTCTCTATAAAAACTGACCCAGGGTTAGACTTCAGATGCAGTGCTGTTGGGTTTCCTATCGATGATCTTGACTTAATACTCTGAAGGTTAAGGAGGTCAAACCTGTTAAATAATTCAGGCAACACTAGCTAAAAACCATTAGGTCAAAAGCCGTGATATGCTGGTATGTTTTACAGCCTAGCAGAATAAACTCTTTTCTAATATATGGTTGGGGTCAAAGGTTAACATAGGCTATAATGGGTAAAATGCTTTATGGATCTTAAGTTCCTTAACCCTGGGTCCAATGGGGCTTAAACAAGTGGAGAGAGGCAAGACATCGATTGAAACTATAAAAAAGGTTTTCGTAATGTTCCATGACAATGCATCAACTTTAATGGATTCACATTTCAAAGTCTTAGCAGCACAAGATGGTCATTAGTCTGAGCAGCACAAGATGGTAATTAGTCTGAGCAGCACAAGATGGTATTTAGTCTTAGCAGCACAAGACGGTAATTAGTCTAAGCAGCATAAGATGGTTATTAGTCTTATCAGCACAAGATGGTAATTAGTCTGATCAGCATAAGATGGTTATTAGTTTTAGCAGCACAAGATGGTAATTAGTCTGATCAGCACAAGATGGTAATTAGTCTGAGCAGCACAAGATGGTAATTAGTCTTAGCAGAACAAGATGGTAATTTGTCTGAGCAGCACAAGATGGTTATTAGNAAGATGGTAATTAGTCTGAGCAGCACAAGATGGTAATTAGTCTTAGCAGCACAAGATGGTAATTAGTCTTGGCAGCATAAGATGGTTAGTAGTCTAAGCAGCACAAGATGGTAATTAGTCTGATCAGCACAAGATGATAATTAGTCTGAGCAGCACAAGATGGTAATTAGTCTTAGCAGCATAAGATGGTAATTAGTCTTAGCAGCACAAGATGGTAATTAGTCTGAGCAGCATAAGATGGTAATTAGTCTGAGCAGCACAAGATGGATATTAGTCTGAGCAGCACAAGATGGTAATTAGTCTAAGCAGCACAAGATAGTAATAAGTCTTAGCAGCACAAGATGGTAATTAGTCTTAGAAGCACAAGATGGTTTGTTTTGGCATGGTCATGGTAACTGGTATCTTCAGCTTGACTGTTTATTAAATGATGTTTGAAATATTTGTGATATTTGTATGTGAGTGTGGATTTTTGATACCCTAATATTGTACTTTCTCTTTCTATATATAATATACAGACTGAAGTGATAAATGAATAAGCATGGCTTCATGAAACATTCTGATAACATTGTTACCTCTATAATGTTACTTGTAAGATTGGCATTGGAACCAGTTGTTACCCACCAATAACACAAAAGGTCATACATTTTATGTGGTTTTTTTTTTCTTTATTGATTAATGCAAAATGGTGAAAAACATCTACGGTGTAATTATTGTAGGTAGTTTGATATTTTTGCAAACAGGGATATCAATTGATCAGTGGAGAAAGTTTGTGTGTTAGATTCACTAGATCATATACCACATGCATCTCCTGGAAATTTTTTTATCCCATCAATATTTGTGTAAATTTGTCAAATACTGAACCAACAAGTAGAAGAAGAGGTTGTGTTTGCAATAATGATCTAAAATCTAGTATCATAAATTTAATGTCAATACAATACAGAGAATGAATAGATACGTAGTACAACTGAGGATTAGTAATATTACTGACCGAGAGTGTGCATGTTAGACATTGACACTATCAGTACTATTGACAACCCTGCCTGGGATAGTGTTCACCTTACATTGACACTATCAGTACCATTGACAACCCTGCCTGGGATAGTGTTCACCTTACATTGACACTATCAGTAAAATTGACAACCCTGCCTGGGATAGTGTTCACCTTACATATATATATTGTACATTGACACTATCAGTAAGAGTACCATTGACAACGTTAACCCTGCCTGGGATAGTGTTCACCTTACATTGACTGTAATGGCTGTTGTGAGATGTTATTCGGACTGAAATGTTAGGATATTTTGAGATCATTAGAATCACTCCTTCTTTGAAATAAAACATGTATCATCTTTACCATTGAAGCCTGTTGTTAAGCTTGTCTTTGTGCTAGATATATATACTAACGGCCTCTGTATAATAACCAGACATACAAGGGTTGATGACACACACGTTACCACCAATAATGTCCACTCCAACAAGGTCAAACAAGTCCAGCACCATAAAACTCGGCTATAACCGTTATTGTCGAAGCAAATCAAAGGCCATTGCGGCCATCTTGAATCCTGAAAACAAAAAGTCGTTTTTTAATCATTTGAACGGATGCCATGGCGATCATCTTGAATACTGAAGATGCTTTCTTAAACCCATGTTGTAGAGAACAATGGGGCATTACACAATACCTCTGTGCTGCTGAAACATAAAGATGTAAGCCACGCAGTATTTGGTCCCCTCCTTGTGTTACGGTCATTACGCAAATATGTTTTGTAGACATCCAAAAGTTAGTGATGATATGTCAAACATTTTACTATAAAACCCTGTTTACATGAAAAGTTACGACGCTCCGCTAGCTGTGAATTTTATTCGGTCACCTGATGAGCTTTAGCTCAAGTGATCTATAGCTATCCGTCTTCGTGCGTCGTCTGTTAACATTTTATATTTTCAACTTAAGCTGAAATACTGTCAAAGGGATTTCATTGATACTTCATGGAAATGTTACTGACAACTCCCTGACTAAGTGTTGTAGTTTTTCGGATCGATCAGAAATTCAATATGGCCGCCATTTTGAAAAACTATATCAAACTTAAAGTAAAGTTCTACAAGGCCGATTTAACTGAAATTTGGTAGGAATTATTGACTCATCATGGTCCTGACAAAGTGATGTTATTTTTCAGGTCGATCAAAAATCCAATATGGCCGCCATTTTAAAAAACTATTTCAAATTTAAAGTCAGATTCTACTGGACTGATTTAACTGAAATTTGGTTGGAATAATCAACTTATGGACCTGACAAATTAAAGTGTTGTTATTTTTCGGGTCGATCAGAAATCCAATATGGCCGCCCGTTTGAAAAACTATTTCAAATTTAAAGTAAAGTTTTACTGGGCCGATTGAACTAAAACTTGGTAGGAATGATTGACTCATGGTCCTGGCAAAGTATTTTTTCGGGCCGATCAAAAATCCAATTAGGCTGCCACAGCTGCCATTTTGTATTTTTTTTATTTCAAACTTAAAATCAGGTTCTTTTTGGCCAATTTAGCTGAAACGCGGTCTAGGAATGATCAACTCATCACTAACTTAACTAAACGTTATACTTCACTTTTTTTTAGGGATGATTGACATCATTATCTCCACTTCATATTTCAGCAACAAAATAAATACTGTAGGACTCATATGTGACCGTTAAGGACCGTGGGTATCTTGTTAACGTTAAAATTGCTATCAAAGGGATGGTATAAACGTGAATCAGTAATATCCTACATCTGAACTCGCTCCAAGTCAACATATCCTGATAATTATCTACAGTTGCTTCCATACTTTTAAACAAAAGGAGCCTACCGCAATGACTGATTGGTTTCTTTGGAAAACCACCACAGACAAAGTGAAACAAGAGAGCTCAATATGAATCGCTTTCAGAGAGGATCTTATCTATCGGGTTCCTCTTAAAAAACCCAATAAGCAGCTTGAAATCTAAAACGAAAACAAACAAAGGTCTGTATATTTTGACCCCGAAGTCTACTCTACGATCTACATGGTGAATATGTGGAAGAAGACGAAGCATAACTGGATTTTCGTCTACAAACACTATAACATTTCCTGCTGACAAAAATAACAGACTTTCGCAACAACGTAGTCTTACAATCAACTTGAAAGAGGGGTTACTTATTGAGAGTGCAACACTGTTGTTTATAGTCACATAGATATCTAGTGTGTATACCATACCGTGACATATATTGTTACCGCGAGCATGAGGGTACATAGGAGGATTTTATGTCATATAGATATCTAGTTTGTATACAATACCCTGACATGTATTGTTACCGCGAGCATGAGTGTACATAGATACCTAGTGTGTATACCATACCGTGACATATATTGTTACCGCGAGCAT